CGGCGCCAGGCCCCCACGATAGTGAGGCCCGTAGACTGCTTGCACGCCCCAAAACGCAGGCGGCAACTGCACCACTTGCACGGCAGCCATGACGAAGCTGCTGGTTGAGCACTGCCGGTGTGACTGAGCCAAGCGTGAAGGAAGCACGTCGAGCGACGGACACGGCTGTTGGGCCGCACTTGAAGCTTGCATCGAGAGAGCAGGAGCTAGTGACAGGCATTGCAACTGCGTCGCTCGAAGACAGGATGTGCCGGAGCAGTTTGGGCGCCCGGCGGAACCCCCCAACCTCTTTCCGTCTCCAGTGCCAGTTGACTCAGTCAGATGCAGTGCAACTCTGACCCTGGATGGTGCAGCCTTGCAGAGAGCCTGTTGCCTTTCTCGCACGTTTCGGGGCCAAGGCAGGGCTTGCTGCCACTTCAAAGCTGCCGCACAGCTCCTTGCAGCCACAAGCATCTCAAAGGGTCGCAGTTGACACCATCATGTCTACTGCGGCCTTCCCAAATCCATATTCGGCTCCTGACAACTTCGGCAAGACCGACAGGGTCAATTAGCTCTTCTGCAGTCGAGAACAAGGAAAGCCTCCGAAGCGCGTGCAGTCTAATGAAGGAGCAGATGGGAGCAGATTCTAGTAGCTTCCAGTCGAACTGCCACAAACGGGTTCATCGAAGGGTGACTCACACTGATAAGAGCGACAACGTCCAAGGTGCGAATGCTGCCAGGCCCCCGTGGCTGCCAAGGCGGCGAGCGCCGCGTTCTGAGCCACAGCCTTGAAGAGTTGAGTATGTGAAGAAGTCCAGAACTTCACTGACTATCACTAGAGTCACTAGAGCTTTTGAGCCACTTTGAGCCTTTGAGTCTGCTCCGATGCTGACTCAGCCCGAATTCCAGCTGTCCAAGGCATTGCTGAAGTCTCCGCACGAAGTAGCGGCTTCTGTGGTCCGTGCCGTTGTGGGTATCTGCTGGCCTGAACATGGCAACAATGTTACAACATGCGATGAAGCGTAGCATCGTTATGAACACCACGACGACGGGACTTCGTTGTGCCCAGAGCCCACTCATCGTCAGCGCTCGATGATCCGTTGGCTAGTGGTAAGAGCGTACGCATGTTGCCAGGCTCTCAGCTGTTGCAATTTACGGTTGCTTTGTCGAGCCCTTTCAAACACTAAGCGATCTGGGGTCCGAACTTTGCATCTCTTGCAGAACTTCCAAGGCCATGGCCTTGATTGAGCACACGCCTGAATATTCCGAAACATGACATTATCTAACATCCAAGGCAGTCGAAACATGCATCTGTTAGGCTCGGAGCTCTGAGCACCCAGCCCAACGTGCACCGCGAGCGCACGTGCTCAGCATCACGCCACACAGGATGGACTCGGAAGTTGACACAGAAAGTGTTCACGCAGCGCGTTTCAGGGGCAGACGTACCTCACTCCGACATTAGGGCATGACAAGAACACGCAAAAAACCTTTCAGCAAAGGCAGTCTTTGTGCAAGCTTCCAAGCTATCCGGGCACACGACATTGGCGGTGATCTTGAAACTGCCGGCGTTCGCGAGCAGGTCCATCCTAAGCGGCATTCGTGCCCCAAACAGTGGAGCAACACTTTCTGGGTCTGTTATGTTGGATGTGGGACGGCCATGTGGTCTTGCAAGGCAAAGCTTGGGAGTCCATGCCGACTTACAGCAGGAGGTCTTTGTTGACGTTGGACTTCATGGGGAAGCCACTTCTACACGGGGCTAGACAGGTAGGTAAGCTCTTGGAACAAGCAAAGCATCAAGCCAAACTGCACCAACATCTGCCTTTCAAATCAAGATTCCTGGAGAAATGTAACACAGAGAGCACGACCGCCTTCAACGAGGAAATATTTGAATGATGCTCAATGCAAGTTGAGACAGGTTCTATCCAACCTTCAGACGACCTCTCGAAATCTCATCCTCGCTCTGGGCCGTCTCTGGGCCACTATGCTGTCGCACTCCCTTCTACCTCTGGCAGCCGCTACCTGGCCGCATGTCAACCTTCGCGCCATTTTGCGCCCCCCCCCCCCCCCCCCCCGCCTNNCCCCCCCCCCCCCCCCCAACACCCCCCCGCTCCTCTCACGGCCATGTTGGAGCGGCTTGTCACAAGATGCTACAAGTAATTACAAGTACCATGGGAGCTCCTGGCTGGCTCATGAGTACCCTGTCTGCTTCTCAGGGCGCAGCGCCCGCTCCCATTGCCGGCCTCGCTTGCACTCTGGTCGTGACCAGGAAACAGCAGCTCCAGACACAATCTGTCCCATTCACGTCCGGGAGGCCCCGCATGCTTCACAAGCGCTCGCTGCTGCGCCAAACGTGAAAGCATTTGGAGCGACTTTCCGAACTCCTGAGGCTCACAGTGACAACTTGACGAGACTGAAACGGACATTTAAGGTTCCACGTCTGCAAAGCCCGGAACTAGAGCAAAGACAGCATGCTTCACATTCCAGCGCAGCATACATTCTGCAGATCTTGAAACCTCCAGCTGAAGCGGCCAAGCAGTTGCAGTATGTTGCAGTGTAAGTTTCCGGCTCATTTCCTCCAAGAGGGCCAAGGCCATCTCCCAGCGCAGGGCCTTTCAAGGACGAAGCTGGGCGAGTCAACATGTCGCCTGTAGCACTCATCGCCTTCTCGCAGGCGGAGATGGCCGTGCTAAATGACACCACGTCCGGGGCCAAGTCAGCGTCGGGCATTTCCTCTTGGTTCAGCGGGTCAGACACGTCCCAAGGATACTTTTGATGCTGATGGCATCGTGCAAACGTTTTTGTTCTCTAGCGATGAGGCCAGAGACAATTCCCTCGTAGCTGCGAGTCCGTTCAAGCCTCCAACAACTGCAGCGCGAAGTCCCACCGACGACATCGCTCTGCAACAGACAGGAGCCTCGAGCAAGCAGGGCCCTGAAGACCCGAAGAAACATCGTGACATCCGGAGACTGAGTCTATTGGAAACGCTATGGTTTAATAGTAGTCGCCGCCGTCGTCCTGATCGTCATCATCCTCATTTGCATCATGCCCATAACCTTCATCATCATCCTCATCCTCCCCCTGCTCCTCCTGCTCACCTCCTCCTCCTCATAATCATCATCACCACCATCAGTATCACCATCACCATCACCATCACCATCACCATCACCATCACCATCACCATCATCCTCGACGACGTCGGCTACGGCTATTGAGATCGGTGCCGCCACCGGCACTAGCACCAAACCAGATCACAGTCAGTCATGGGCACGAGAAGAGAACCGAAAAATATCATCACAACGTTGCCGGAAGAACACTGGTCGAAGCAATGCCTGCACCAACCAAATCAAGAAAACGCGTTTACACTTCGCAAAACAAACAACAATAGACTCAATTGACTTCATTTAGCCATAAGAATTTATATATTAAAAACACGCTGACTAATTGCATCAGTAAAGATGTAAGAGTATGAAAGCGTACATCGACCTGACCAGCCGTAACCTGCCTTGCGCGTAGACAACTGCTTCGTGGCTCTCATGAATACCGACAGAGACACACCGAAAATGCAGGCCCGACAGGTGCTGGGTGATGTGCGAGTTGAAGGTGTAGATGTCTTCAACAAGGCCTCCGAAGACTTGGAAACTCTTCGCGACTCAGCTATTCCAACGGGCTGCCGCACGCGACAAAGACCGTCCTTGCTACCCCCGCAGGCAACCGACAAGGCGGAGGCATTGCTAAGGCGAATGGGCATTGGCATTGCAAAGAGCCTCGTTCTCGGAGGTCGCTGCGCAGCTCCTGGGCCTTTGCCCAGCGGCGGCAGGCGCTCAGCACGGCGTTGAAACTGGGCAAACGAATGCAGTCAAGATCCGAAGAGTTAGTGCGGTGCCCCTTCCCTGACTGTGCCCCCTGGCGCGATCATCAGGACTGCTTTCCTGTGCGCCGGACGTCACGAGGTCCGGCTCAACACTGGCTGCGTCCAGGGTTTCCAGAAGGGCCAGCGCGGCTTCTGCATGAAGACAGAATGAATAGATGCATGGACAATCTTGAACGAGATCAGCAGTGCACAAACTGTGGCCTTCGCTGTTGCCCTTTTGGCAGGCACTGATGGCAGAGTTGAACACTACCACGTTGGGTTTCACCTCGCGCATGCCGGCTACTGTTTTCGGGCGTGGTACAAGCAGCGACATTCACTTGACTGGCATGTGACGGCCACCATGCAGAAGACGAGATTTGCAGAACGATGCGTTGAAAGTGGTTTGTATTAAGCTCACCAAATCGATCACTCAGCGTCTTCGCACCTGTGCGATTGCCATGTCTGACAGCAGCCGCAGTGAGCGCTGCCATTCGCCCGCCTATCACACGCTGTCAGTGCTTTCAGACCTGCTAGACCTCACGGCCATGTGCATTCAAGGCCGCGCTTTTTCACGATTCAGTTGCACAGGACGATCATCCATTTGATTTCGTCAATGGAGGCATCTACATCCATTGAAAAGGCTCAAAGCACAAGCATTTGCTCAAGCTTGCGCTGACACACGCCAAGTGGCGTCATCATCCCATCCTCGCGGACAGAGGAGCTGCTCCCTCACGTGAGGCAGGTACGGGATGGCACTGGCGATCTTTCCAGTGATGTACATACGATTACATACGGTTCATTGGGGAAGACAACTTCTTAAACTTCGTCGATAAGGTCTCCACGATCCTGCATCGATCAAACACTTCGCTCAGGCGTCAAGTCGCCTGAATTGAAGGATCGCCTTAAACTGCTACCTATGCTGCGTATGTTAAAGAGTGCTTGAAGCTTCTTGCTGAGATGCCTTCCGCTTCTCCTTTCTACGCTGCCACAGAAGATGGTTCCTTCTGCGGCTTGCTTGCTCTGGTGAGCAGAAATGACAAAACTCGCATGCCTTCCCAAGGCGGCATCCATCACTCTTCCGAGTATTAAAAAGACATGGTGTGCACAATCCAGCGCGGTGGCTCTGCCAAGCGGACATCGTGGCACCGGCTCCCTCGACTTTGCCACTGAGCACGGTGGTCATGTCTTCCTTCAGCTCAAGTCGTCGCGCTGGAGGCTTGTCAGCCACTTTGGCTTGGCCGTTTGCATCGAGCACGAACCTGCAAGGGACCCAACCCAGATAACTCGACGAAGCATTCGGTGCAACAGGTTTTCGTGCTTCTTCGCGCCTGGCCTTGGGACTGCCAGCTTTGGCTCCGACTGGCAACTGCGAATTTCGCCTTGACAGATGCTGACAGTACAACACGGTACAGTACTGTGCAAGCACTGCATTTGATGCATGGCTCCTTTCTTTGGGAACGCATTCATGCAAACGACACAAAATCTACGCGAATTCACCTGCGTGAGTCTATAATTGACATGTGGTTGCTGCGCGGACATCTGTGCCTTCCCCCACAACGGCCACTTCAATGAAAGATCTCTTGCTGAGCACGGCGAAAGTGCCGGCTTCCTCGTCCTCACAATCATGCTTGCAACCGAACTTAACTCACATTTTCATTAGAAACCTAGGAATCAGCCAGATCGCAAGAGTTCCTGGATCAGCCAGAGCAGGCTGGACCGGCTGGAGGCTTCGGCAGTAGGCAATGCGATTTCCATCAGTCTACATACGTAAAAAAAGGCTCTGTCCTGATGCTTTTGAGCCCAAGCTGCGGGTGCGAAGGTAGGTACTGCACCTCCACGCCCGCATTTGCAACCTGGGTGCAACCTTTGGGAGCAAACATGCTTGGGAACCCCTGACAGACCGAACATGACTGAACATATCAAGGCATATCAAAGCCAGCAATTCCCGTCACAGAGCCTTCTCCAGCGAGTTCAGGACAGCACCGAAGGAAATGACATCGGGCAGGGCGCGATAGAGCGACCTGCGGCGTAACTTCTGATGACGGTCTAATCCCGCGGGCAACGATCCCCTTGTCCAGAATCTTTCTGGGCCGCGCACATGCCACAAAGCAGCGACGCGGCCACCTCCCAACAGCTTGCCTGCGGAGCAGCCAGGGCACGAGCGCATTAGTGTCAACACGTCTCACCCCTTTCACCTTGCCGCAGACCGCAATACAGGCGTTGCACAGCACCGTGTCCACCCCAGCGCCGCCTTTTCCATTCACAGCAGTTGCACTCACCATGCGAAGGCAACTGTTGCAAGCATGGTTGCAGGGCCTTGCAAGGAATGTAGGAGCGCCAATGCCTCGCATCAGAGCACGGCCGGCCTATGATGTACTATGATGCCCCTTTGTGGGCCAGGTCTGTGTGCTCCGGCCTCCATCCAAAGACCGTGTCTGGCAAAGGCTGCCAGGACAGCGGTGCCATCCTGGCAAAGCAAAGGCCAATGCGCAAGCCAAGCTGCGTTTCTTCTCCTAAGCCTGACGGTAGTTTCTTGTGCTGCTGCTATGTAAACAGCATCAACCTTGCAGTGGCTTTTTTGTGGAGTCTGATTTACCTGACAATTTGCGTTTGCTGCTGCCCTCGGTCAAACTTTGGACCAGGGAAGGGACACTCCGGAGGACTTCTGGGATGTCACGTGGGACGTTTTGCATCAGCTTCTGTTAAGGTTTGGCCGCCTGGTGCCGGGCAAAATCATGGCTTCCCTCGCAGTCCTTTCCCCCAACAGCTCCATGAACGTGGCGCCGAAAGTGTAAAGGTCCAGTTGCACACAGCCCCAACCTATCCAGGGCATGGGCGCGCAAAAAAGCGTGCCAGGTCCGTGAACCACGTCTCGTTGGAACGACTCACGCGCATCAAAGTCAAGCAATTTAACACGGAACCAGTAGGTCGGTTCAAAGCAGGTGGGCAGGCTTCACATCTTGGTGCACTATGCCGTTCTTGTGGAGATGATCCAGTGCGCTTGCTGCTCCACAAAACGCGACAGTGCAGCCACTGTTGCTCGTGCAGCACCCACTCAAGGCCGGCCCCAATAGTTTCAAAACACTGGCTGGACACGGCCTGCATGTCAACATGCAACGCGATGCTATGCATGGATGTGCGACACTTGCCATCACTCGGCCTTTTTTCAGAAAATAAAATATCTCGAAAGGAGGCGGCTTCTCAGCCCTCATGACTGGTATGGCACACGGCGGCCTTTTAAAGGTGCCTCGCCAGACTATGACTATGCCTTGCCTTGCGCGACCATAATGCGACCATAGGATTGCTCGACAACGTTTTTGATTCGTATTGTCGAACAGTATCATGATGTTGTAGTTTGCAAATATGCTCAGAACGTCTTAAGACCACCGGATTGCCAAAATGGACAGGCTCGGATGCGGGATGCTGGTTGATGTCTCGGTCCAGGTTTGCATTCATTGAGTGGGTGCGCATTTCGGCTGACTCAGCAGCGCAAACAATTCTTCTGAGCTTGGTATGCAGCAGAACCGTCATGTCACACAAGCCACTCTACACTCAGCCATATGCCATAATGTTGGACTTACAATACTTACAAATACCATGTCCGTTGCATGACTGTGGAGTTATGCATACTCTGCATTTTTCCGAAAGGCTGTCAAGACTACTACGGCTGCATGCTGCTGATGATATCGTGCCGGCTCGTATACTCCTTTTATAAGTACGTCGCGCACGCGAACTGCTGTGCTTCTCGAATCCCAAATGGTACTTTCTACCATGCCATCGACGAAGACTACCTCTCTTGTTCTTGGCCACATTTGTTGCAAGCATTCATTGATCATAATTACAGATACAACTGCCAGCATGTACGTTGCACATCCTGATTACCAGCGTTCTTGTCGCTCTTGATGTATATCATGCTCATGCTCATTCCAACTCCTGCAGGCTTTCGGGTCCTGGCCTTTGCCCGAGTCACAACTCCAGGCTGCAACAGCTGCAAAGCTACCTCGAGCCGGCGTATCCATGCAACCGATGTGCTCCGGCATGGATGCTGGTACGATCTTTCTCCTTCGGACTGAGTTTCTTCGTTAGTTGAATGGCTAATACGACTTCTGTCATCAGCATCCTTGCCTGTTGCCAACTACGTGAACTACATGGTTCTGACAGCAAGCAGAACCATAAGCTCAACAGTCATTGAAGGATTGACATCCTCTGTGAAGCCCCACTTGACCGGGTCGCGGGCATCTCGGGCCTCCTCTGCCTTCAGGGGCCCGGGCCCGCGCAGCCTTGCGACGAGGCATCGACCAAGGCCTGCGAAAGGAGCGGGTGGGGGCCTGGAAAGGGCCTTCATGGTTTCGAGAGCGGATCTTCCGCCTCCTCCGCCTCCCCGTGCAGGAGGTTCCTTCATCGGTGAGCATCATGGCTCCAGCAGGCGGGTGAGCAAAAGCTTGTTGTCCAGGAGTGTGGAGGTTTATCTCATTGCCTCACATTGCCTCATGCCTGTTGGTGCCCATCCACCTGATACATGCTGAACTGGGCCGCTTAGCAGATAAAGCTCAAACAGCTGCGCTCTGAGGCCTGCGGTTTGTTCGCAAAAACCCTCAGAACTACACCAGCTCATCCAGCCGCAGCAGCTACAGAGACCTGTACCCCCTAGCCTTGCGTTGCCCACATGAACGATGCCGGCTGACATCGAGACGATCAGCAGCCGACTCGATTGCGTGCAAACATGCTTTTGCCTCTCAAGTAAAAGGCCAAGTTATGATGGGTGCACTTCTCACTACCAAGCCTCCGTAGGACCTAGGCAAGCTCTCTGGCAGTGTTCTTTCGGAAGTAGGAGGCTGCACACGGCTTGTCGACAATGCTTGCAGCTGTCTACATCCAGCATGACAGCGAGGACTTGGCATGTCCAACAGGTCCGATGCGGCTGAGCTCGTGAGACAATCTAAGCACCTTGCCACAGAAGACGCGGCCCCCACAGGTAACCTGGCCGAACAACGCGAACTTGCGACCGTGCAACGTTGCTCGAGTAAAGCCTCATAGCAACATGCCCAGCGAAAACAAGTCCTGCATCTTCCTGTTCTCACCAGAACACTACAGTTTTCAGAGGCCTGACAGTTGCAGTCCAGCAGCTGACGATACCTCCAGCTGCGCAGCCGCCAAGGTGAGAAGCTACGTCGACCTGGACGGGGGAAGGGGCGGAAACCGGAACCTCACTCGTGAGTGCAGCTGCGCGTTCTCAACGCCAGGCACCAGACATCGCGAGTGAAGAATCGACTCAGAAGCGAGGCCAGTATCACGGACCTGGGTTTCGATACGCGCATATCTTAACAGCTTGATGTGCAGATTACACTTCCAGCATGTTCCAGCTATGGACTATGCCCCTGCACACCAATTATCATCGTCGCGCTCAGCTAAAGCACGCAGCTCTGGGCTTCACGAATACCGTTCTGTGCGACCGAATTGCCAAAGGTCAACACACGATGCGCCATGCCTGTCAAGCGGCCGAAGGTCGATTTGGCTTCAGAGGCCAACCGCAACTACTACAAAACCACGAAATCAAAAAGGTTGCTTTCACAATGTCGCCTACAAGGCTCAGCAAAGGAGCAGCTCAGTCGCAGCAGGCTACATGCAATACACACTGCGATTGATGATCCAGTGACATCCAGTCATACTTCTAACCTGGCCTCAGGCGCTGAAGTCAAGTTCGTCAAGTTAAGCCACGTATGCTGGTAACATGCTTCATGCACCGCGCCTCATCCGAAACACAAGCACTGCCTGAGACACAGAATCCGAAGGGAGCATTGCATTTTGATGCGCCAGACTTGCAATCTGCGCAAGCATTGCTGCTCGCAGCTTGGGCCAAAGCACGGTGCCCATGCAAACCTTTCAACGCGAGCGCCCAGGCTGTGAAACTTTGCGCAGCAACAGGGCCCAGGTGGGGAGTCCCATCCAGTCAGGTATCACGCGGGATCAAGCAGCTTCGCTCGATGCCACGTGCCAATTGCTTTCACTAGCTGCTCTTCCTCTTGCGAGTCACAACTCTGAGCTGCTTCTGTTGAATCCGCCAAACGCCCTCATGCAAGTCACGCGGAATCCTGAGGGTGGCTGCACTGCGAAGCAGCGGGGAGGCAAGAGAAGAGTACCAGTCTTAGTCATCTTGCGCTCTGCCCCGTGCTCGAGGACACCAGACCAAACCTTCCATGGATTTCGCAGCAAATGCAGCCAAGGCTCCGCAGGCCGTCAACATGCCTCTGAGCAAAGCCAGGACTTCCACAAATGCCGGCCTCTCTACAGACCTCAACCTTTGACTTGACGACAACTTGCTAGAAGGAAATATCGCCAGCAAAACGTCTTGTTTGGCCGGAGAGCCAGTTGGCAATCCCTGGCGCTATCGCCAAACCGCCCTTTGAGCAGCGCCGATGACGGACGCCTCACAAGCAAATGTCCGAGTTCTTCGCTGATGAGATCTATCAGGCACCGAATGCCATGGCATCTTTGCGTTCAACATTTTCCAACCTACGGATGCCCGTGCTTTACGCTGGGAGCAGCTGGAGCACGCAGAGCTGTGCCAGGCTTCGTCGAACCTGCAAGCAAACATCCCAACGGGCTGTGCAGCAATTCTTGCAACTCCGCAATCAGAACTGAGCAAAACGAATTTCATACAGGCTTGCCATATGTGATACCAGTACAAAACACCAGCAGTGTGACCGGCAAAGGGGCAGCACTCTGCCTCTCGTAGTGCCAGAGGATTTGCCACAGGTCTGCAGCCCGGAGGGGCGGTGGTGCAGCCAGACCTGTGGCGAAAGAGTGTGTAGCGTAGAGTCGATTGCAGACATCTCTGAAGCGAAGCCTATTGCGAGTGATTACCCGAGGGAGGGCTCGAGGACGAAAGTTGACAATGACGTGTTGAAGAGCTTCGGAAAAGCTTATCTGATCTAGTTTCATAGATTCGATCTCTGCAAACATGCACTGTTGCGTAGCTGCTGAGAATTCGACATTCACCAAGAGAGCCAAGCGTTCTCCCCGTTTGCATTCCAGCTCTGCCGGGACACCATGCAGCAAGTCGCCACCTCGAAGCGAAGGCAAGAGAAGGAAGGGAAGTACATGCACCTTGAGTCATGCTGTTCGTCAATTCACCTGCCTCAGACCTGGAAGAACAGCCGTAAATCTTGTGCTGCCAAGCACCGAAGGCAACGTGCAGCCCTCGCGCAGGGAATGCGACGAACGCCGCCGCATCGCTCCCAGGACTCGCCAGAGGGCCCCACGTTGGGCAGATTGCATGAGGATAAAGCAATGAGAGCATGTGTTTGCTGCATTTCCACGATGTGCTCTTAACAGCAACAAGCGTCTCAGCTTTCGTTAGCTAGGACTCGGCGACCACGCCGCATTCAATTGATGGCTGCTCGCGATCGCAAAACTCCGACCTGGGTGGAGGGTCATCTGCATCGGGCGCGCCATCTTCTTGACGGCGCAAGGTCGGCGCCGAGAGAACCACCAGCGGAGCACCTGAGGAACATTGCTCAAGCGATTGGTAAACCGAAACATACGAGTAGTTGGTGCTTACAAGAGTGTGGGCATGTTCATAGACACGGCGATATTTGCAATGGTTGTTCGGGCTGCGCGCCTTGATCGGTGAGATACGTGGCTGTGGCGACCAGCGGATGGACACAAAGGCCCACATCATCCAGCAGATCCTCATCCTACTGGCTTCCCATGGCAGTTCTCTTGATCGACAGCAGTTCTGATTGGCTCCATGGTCGGTAGAGCCTTGTCAAAATGCCAGTTCATTCCGCGGCGTGCCTGGCTGCAGAACCCTTCGCAGAGCGCTTCGAACTCCTACTGACGGAGAACCTTAAACCTTTGAACCCTGAGCCTTAACCTCATGAAGCCCAAGCTTCGGCAAGGGCTGTGCCTGCTTCACCTCCGCACCGCGCCGCTGCACCCAGAACCTGCCGCCACAGAAGCGTCGTCGAGATGGAGAATGATGGAGATGTTGCGCAGCCGAGTTCACCATGCGCGACTTGATTCTACCAGTCTCCAGGACTCTGTGACCATCCGGCCAAGCTGCTCGGCGCCAGCGCAGCCTCCAACACAACAACACGAAAGGGATGGACCCATTGGAAGCAAAGCTTTTCTGCTTGTGCTACTGACATGCTTGATCAGGTCTTCAAAACTCGCCGATGCACCTCCGAGTTGCTTCACGGTCTTGGATGTGAAACCCAAGCGCTTGGTATGAAACTGAAACCTGCAGGAATCTGCAGAGAGATCTGTGTTGATCAACGACTCTCACAAATCTTCCACTCCACCTGCACTCCACGAGACGAAAGACAGCACAGGGTTGCACAACGAAGGCTGAAACTAGACCAGGTACACTCGCAGCGCAAATCGCTGCAGCAGCGATCCAGGCTGTGCTGTTGCGGGAATCCAGTAGCTCTTCGGCGAGACCCCTGCACATGTCAATCTCACCCGCTCAACACGTGGCCAGAAGTGGCACGATTGCTGTCAGGAGTCGCCTCCATGTCTTGCCAATCGGCGTGCAGCGGCAGCTATGGTGGCCTGAAACAAAAGGCTGATGAAGTTGGATGGCGAATGCTGGAGCGCAAGGCTGCCGGTTGCCTCCCACCTGGGACCGAATGTCAAAACTCCGGGAGGTGTCTGCCAGGCCTGAAACTGAAGCTTCACAGTTCTGGAAAGTGAAAGTCGTGCTGCAATGACTACCCTTCAAGCTTTCTTCGGTTTGGCGTTACTTCGTGGTCGGCAGACTGGAGTAGCATGCGTGAAGGTCTGATCGTGGTGCCTGCTTGGGTATCGCATGAACCGCACGGCTTTAACTTTGTTCCAGTCACTGCACGGCGGTAAGCAGAGTGGGGTGCCGGGGTATGTGGTCAAGCTTGACTTGGCTTGGGTGCGCCATCGACCACAACGAAGTGAGGCAACAGCAACATGGAGGAGTGTTGGGCAATGGAAAACTATGTTTTTCCAGTGAGAGGGCCATCCGAACTTTCAAAGACATGCTATACAAAAGAGCTGAGGCTGGGAAATGTTGAGATTCAATGGGCTGATTATATTCGCAACATATTGCTGACGGACAACAATCAAGTGAAACATACCAAAAGAGGCGAGGAAACCGAGCAATCAAATATATCCAGAGATGGACAAGGGTGTTGGAATTAAGATATTTAGGAAAAACCACATGAGAAGGCGCAAACTTGAAATGACAGCGAAGATGTCGAGAGAGAATAGAAAAAACTGTCAAAGCCAATATTCTGGAGAAGGACATTCGAAATCGTATTTGCGAATTAAGTTGCCAAGCTTAGCTACACAAGCAATGTTCAGATAAAAAATCTTACTGACGGATGAGTATGTGTCGAAAATGTATGTTTACAAAAGGACGCACTTACGTGCAGATGTTGCGATTTGCATGCTGTGCTGCAGTTTCAGTGTTCGTGATGTTTGGGCATCCAAGGCCAGATATGGAAAGAACTATATGTCCGTTGAATGGTTGGCCTGGCCGGCCTTGGCTCCACTTCAATTTTCTTTGGCGGCAGGCAGTTATCAACCAGAGCTCCAGAGGTCTGAGACTGCTTTCCGGTGGTAATAGCACCCGTCCTGCAGTGGCACCGGACTGGGTGCCTTTCATGTACAAGCATACACTCGGCAAAAGCGCAGAATAAAATATCCACATTGCCTGACCATCATTACACGATACATACATTCATTTTCTTTGCTCTGCCAAACATACAATCTCGCATCTGGAAACCTTCTCGCCATGCAAGCTGGAACATCGTTCGGGGGATGTTTTGCCATTGCCATAACACCTTTTGAACCCCAGAACCCTAGGCACTCAACATCGGACATTGAGTGGACGAAACCGTAACAGGATGGTGTCACTTTCATGATTGCAATCTCGCTGGACCTGTTTTGCCCAGCTTATATGAAACCTATGCACACGGAAAAGTTCATGCGTATGCGTCTGAATCTAAATAAAGTTAATGTGTCGTTGCCAGTGTGGTCTCATCGTCACATCCGTGGCGGGACCCTGTTTGTACGATCAAATTGAGACTTCCAGAGAAGAGGCATTCAGACGAACCCACAAGCATGCTCATCATCTCATCACGCAACGCACTTGCTGTGGCACACGCTGGTTGCCTTATTCGCGGACGCACAATGTGTATACCGGAAGCTCCCGGTCTGACAAAATGCATGGCTGCCACCAGCAACTATTGCTACACATTGCTACATGTGCACGCGTTGGAGATGGGACGATAACACGAGACCTGCCAAAACATGCGTCCCAAGTCACACTTTTGCATCAAGCTGAAGGGCAATTTCAGTGGCGGTGTCGCACTACGCTTTTGTCAAGTCAACTTCACGTCTGTGGCCTCATGTTGAACCCATGCTGGACACGTCAACAGGCTTTCACTGAACAGAAGCCCACGCAAACAACATTCAAAACCTGATGCTCGCAGACAAAACAGTTGGCTGGGGAGGCTGTGATTGCGAGCTGAGTAGCCGGACTGCGAAGAGATGAAAGTGCGAATGCATCAAAAGCAAACACACCAACGAACATAGGATCGACACTACGCCTGTCACTGCTGTACTTTGTCTGCTCGTGCTCGTAGCTTCTCGTGGTGGCAAGTGGCGAGCGGAGAAGGTGCACTTACCATGCCTGAAATGGGTTTGTTACGCCTTGACATTTGTTTTGTGTCACCACGACAGACTTGCATCCCATCTACGACGACAAGGTTGCAGAATCACGACAACACTCAGCGCATGCAATGGGCTCTTTCCTCATCTTTCCTCCTTCCGGCGCACTTCACGTGTTTCGCTTCTGCAGGTGTTGCTTGACCTTTTGGCCGCCAGCCTCAGAACACGGCAGCGTCTGATCTCACGCGGCGTGAGTTTGATCGCGAAGGATCGTGATACCAAGCGGCAGGCATCTATCTCTCTTCGCATTTGGCGAATCTGCCAGCATCTCTCGTGTTTTTTCGGCACGGTCTGTGGCTGCTTCTCTCGGCTTCTTTCCAGCGGCTTTCAGCATTGCCCTGGAGTGGGCCCCGTTCCTGCCGCCCCATTGCGAAAGGAGGCAGCCCAAGTCAATGCCCAAGAAGCACACCCCGAGTCGGGAGCCCACTCTTTAAAGGTTTCATGGCACGAAATGTTGCGACGGTGGGCTCCTGCCGCCCAATTGCAAAAGGAGGCAGCCCAATTCAAGGCCCAACAAGCACACCCCGAGTTGGGAGCCCGCTTTTCAAGGGTGTCATGGCACGAAATGTTGTGATAGTGGGCTCTTGCCGCCCCATTGCAAAAGCATAAACCAATCAAAAGAAAATTAACCGGCAGGCTTGGATGCTGGCCTTCGAGGCTGTCAGAGAAATCGCATTGCAAACCTGGCCGGCGGATGGTTTTTATGCTAAACCTCAACCTATCGTTTGCGCGCTGCTTGCATCGATCTCGGAGAAGCTGTGAAGAATTAAATAAGAACTACAAGAAAACTTGAGCCCACGGTTCTTTGGGCCCACGGCTCCTCCAACAGCAGCTGTCATGCCAAACAAAGAAGAAGCGTGGTATGCATATACTGTGGGTTTCCTGTTGCTGTAGCCTGAACCTTGCAATGGTAGGTCCACCCCCTTGGCTTGGGAGGGCCAAGTTGGGTCATCAGTGCAAGTCGCGGACTTGACCCCGCCACCGCAGGACCGCCTGAAAACAGATGGCGCACGCCTTCGCATGCCAGCGGCTTCACCACGTCAGTGTTTTTGAGCCTCTGGCATCCTAACACTCCCGCTTCGAGCCATGGCTGACAAAACAGCAAGTGCGGATGCCAATGCCATGAGTTTCGGTTCTGGGCTCCTGGATCGGCCGAAGGTTAAGTGCAACTATCACCACCTGCCACCACGAGAAGCTACGAGCACGAGCAGACAAAGTACTGGTGTCGATCCTGTGCTCGTTGGTGCATTTGTTTTTGATATGGCTTTGCACTTTTATCTCTTCGCAAGTCCGGCCACTCAGCTTGCAATCACAGCCTGGCAAAAGCCCCGACATGGCTCTGGCCCAACGGAGCATGGGTCCTCATTGAATTTTCATATCGCGGCTATCATCGCAGTCGTTGTTGACCCACCGTGGTGCCTTCAATGCCTCAACTCTGCACACTAAAATGAGAAGACCTTTGCCCAATTTGAGTTGATCATTCCACCTCTGGGATCATGGATGGTAATCGGCTATTGCTATACTGGCATTAGTGAATGCGAGGTAGTAGTGATATGTGGGTGAGATATCGAAGGGAGTATCGGAATAATCGGTTGCGGGGTCTTAGCATTCAGTACTAGCTGTCGTACTTGTCTCTGTGCTAGTTAGTAGAGTTAGTACTAATGCGATCCTTGCAATAGTCTTGTAACAGCGATGCATATGCGCAGGTACCTGCATTTCACCTATGGCGGAAAGAAATAGGGCACGTGTACGAAATTGAAACAGGTTGGGCGAGTTGGCAAATAGGGAGAAAGGAAAACATAGCAGGCCTGAATCAGCTGCAACAAACAAAAAATACAAAAATGCGATACATAAGGCAAATGACTAGCAAACATTGTGGTTTCCCATTTGTTCGGTTCCTATTGTTTCGAAGCTGTTCCTGTGTTGCTATGTATTGCCTATTTTGTTTCTGAAACGCAGCCAGTGTCGGGAAGTGTATTTTCAGTTCTATTCGTGTCTATTTTCTGTTTGCTACAGTAATTCATCTCAACATGATCTAGCAGCATGTCCATTGCTCGAACCTCCTCGCGACCAACTTACCTACCTTGCTTTCCATGTGAAGTGAGGGTACAGGACAGTAATTAGTTTTAGGGCCTTTAGGGCAAAGTCAGGCAAACCTCAGAGAAGCCCGCAGCCTCGGTTCAATAAGGAGCCTATCAGCGGCAAGCATTTACCCAAATTTACCCAACTCAAGGATGCTGAAACTGCAGATGCCTGCATTGGGGGCATCGTCTTAGTGTAGCCATTGCACGAAATCCGTCGGCGAAGAGACCACACCTCTGCAGGCATGGGACTGTCTGCTCTTGGATTCCACGACCTTGCATTCTCTTTTCATCCCTGACTCCTTGGAGTCGATTTCCAGCTCCGAGCTGTCACTTTGCGAGTCCTGCAGACTCATCTCAGACTTAAGCGACTTCGCAGTGCTGGCTGGACCTACCCCGAGTCCCGAGGACCAAAATGTCAAAGGAGAACCTACCTTGTACTGCTGCAGTAAAACATCATGCAAGAGTGCCGGGCAGTCCAGATCGCAGCTCATGGTGCCCGAATCAAGCGGGAACAAAGCAATTCATAGACTTACATTGACCGGGCGACAAGAAGAAACAGGATCTGCAACGGCTGTAGTGGTGGTTCGCTTTCCAAGTGGGAGACGGTTGCAAGCCACGAGCTGAGAGCCAGAATCGGCTCAAAGGTCACGAGTTTCCTGTCTTGCACCGGATGCCCTGCCAGCAGTGAAGCGGCCGCGCTTATATGTCAGCGGCTGCTAGTCGAGCCCGTACCACTCAAGTCACTACTGGTAGATGTATGAACATTATTGCTGTAACCAGGGTGCTATCATCCATCCTTTCGGAAGGGCGCCTTGGGCCTCGCTGCCTTCATTTACACATGCTCTCCCATCATCTTCAAATCTCAGGCACGCACGGAGACAAGGCCCAGGGCAGCTGCCGAGCCACCCAAGGACGCGATTGAATCTGCGCAGCACTGTTAGACACAGAGCCCGCACGACGCAGGCTCGAAATGCACCAAGGCTTATGCAAGCCCCACCCACTACGCCCAATTTCACCCAGTTGTTAATTTTATGCCTGCATTCCGGCCGCGATCGGCCGCGAGTGACTTGACGGTCCCGAACTTTGTCGGCGAGGTTAGAAGTTAGAGGAGCGTTGGCATCTGCAGCTACGCCCCGAGAAGTACAGAAAACACTCTACGCGAAACAACCACGCTAGCATGAAGATCGAGCCCGGAATGACTAGTAACTTGACTAGAAATCAGCCTTAGATGTTCTCTGTGCTCCTGTCCTGCTCTTGATAATGACGTTGCCAGATTCCAGATTCCGACAAAAAACGGGGCAACTTTGCAGACACTGCCCTAACGCTGCATCCGTAAGCCGAAAACGAAACCACACAGCAGTCAACACTACTCCAAATGCCGCTTGCAAGCCTCTTCGCCGCTGCTTCCACATGATGGAGGCAAGTGAGCCACCAACTGCCTCGAGCTCGGGTCAACAGCAAGCACGAACATTCAAGCTGCACTTTCCAGACTACTGAAGCGGCTGTGAAAAAGTCACATGTTTGGTGGGCTTGACTTGTGCTTTCCTAGCTATTCTGCCTCGACAATACACATGCACACAGCCAACCGAACCTGGGGCAATTGTGCATCATACTTCTGGTCTCCGACACGGCTCCACACTTTCCGAGCACGGCTTAGGCATGTGCGCTGGCGAGAAAGGCAAAGAGAAATCGTCCTGCGCAACTTCAAGCAATGTTGTATGGGATGTTGCTACCTTCGCCCGCCCATCACTGCCCTTCCTGATACAACCGAGCTTTCCAACACGACTCTTTGCACGAAGCGGCAACATTGTTCAACCTCAAAAAGGCGGTGAAAAGCAATTCGTGCAAGCACCTGGGCCCAGGAGCCTCTCGGCTACGTGACCATAGTACCTGTGCCGCCAGACTTAGAGCTGACTCAGAGTAGAGTAAGTCACATGCACGCTGTTGCTTCGACCCGATAGCTGGTGTGTGGGCCAAGCATGAACAGCAGCATGAAAGCGGGCACCAAAGGAAGTACATGTTCACGGCCAGGTGATACCAGCTGGCATGGAGAAATGCGCTGGTGACCTGAGTCCGGTGCACACAACCCGATTCACTGAACATCCGATTCAATCCGGCATACTGCCGACGTCGATGCATGGGAGAGGGAGAGACAGAGAGAAAGAGAGACAGAATGGGAGAGACAGAGAGAGCGACAGCGAGAGCGAGAGCGAAGGCGGCGAGAGAGAGAGAGAAGGACGGGAACGGAAAAAAAAGACTGACAGAGCAGCGGACAGGCACTTCGAGCAATCAGGTCCTTTCTCAACAAGTGATGTTGTTCATCTCAGCATGCTTGCAGAATCGCTTTGCAATCTGCCATAATGCTCCTATCCAACACGGGCCTGGAGAATTGAATGAGGATCATGCTGCACCAGGAATTATCTGGCGAGAGTTCATTCCTTTGAGGCATATTGCCAACTTCCAAAACTCCAGTCCAGAGTGTATTGAGTCCGATGAGGACCCATGATGGCGTGGAGGTTCGGTGGCTGGGGGCCGGAGACACCTAGCTGGCTGATGGAGTTGATTTTGTAATACAACCCCCGTGCCTGCCATCGAATTTTAGGCCTGTCCACGTGATGCGAACATGCCAGAGTCTCACGCAGCACTCTGTAGCGCTGGCGGACTCTTGGTGGAGCATGCCGAAACTGACTGCATCCACGAGCTAAGATGCCGTGGAATGTCAATCATGAGCTTCCAGGCAATTCCTATGGGTGCGCCAGATTGGTGCGATCTGTACATGCAGCAGACACCGGATTTGGGTGCAAATGAGTGGAGCTGCCCTCTTGCCAAACAACACTTCATCCCACACCAGCAGCTGCTCCAACCCAACCTTGGGATGTCCTTAAAGTCGAGGTCATTGGCGGGCACTGGGCACCACCCTACACCCTGCAATCCACAAGTGGCAAGCAGGACGGTGGGCCTTAGCCTTCGAGTTTCTTGCGTCGTTACTGCCAGAACAACCTAAATAAGTCATAGCCATCGTCACCGATTGTCCTGAAGCTGAACGTCTTCGGAGCCCAAGTGCCATATGCTAGGCTCCCTGTGCGTATCTAGGACAGGACCTTCCGTTTTTGTCAGCATGGGAAGAGGGTTTCTCGGTCATCGGCTTGTCACCGCGGGACATGGATGTTTTGCAAGGTGGATGCGGCGAATGCGCGCTGGCAGGCGGATTCAAGAGCATTATTGCTTCCGATGCAAACCATATGTGCATGCATGCATGCGTGCCTCACACCATGCCGCACCATGTCATAGCACCACAAGCAGCGCACCGCAGCGCACTGCAGCACAGCGCACCGCAGCGCAGAGCACACCACACCACACCAGACCACACCACGGATCACACAAACCGCACACCAGGAGCCCCTGGTAGAGCATACTGAAGACCTTGCTCAGCAATCTTCTACAAGTGTAGATCTCTATCAGCACTAGCATCACTACGAGCAAGCAAACTTGCAGCTATCCGAATGTAATACGAAACCCAATCAAAGATTGAACACCTTGCTCACACATCCCTTCTGAATCTCCTATGAGTACTCATACATGTGTATGTATATATATATATATAAGTATACACATTATATGCATACGTACATTCGCAGAGCATACCTACGTACAGGTATACAGAGAGGCCCGCAAACATATTATGAGTGCATGCAATGCAGGCAGGAAGGGAGGGGAGGCAGGCGGGCAGACTGGGAGGCAATGAAAGCAAGAATGACGGAATGTATGCATGTATGTCTGCATGTATGTGCTTACGTGTGAGTATATGCATGCATGTGTACATACATACATATAGAGAGAGAGAGAGAGATCTTATGTATGATTGAACGTACGGGTTTATGTACCGTATGTGTGTATGTATGTACGTAGGTAGGTAGGTAGGTAGGTAGGTAGGTAGGTAGGCAGGCAGGCAGGCAGGTAGGTAGGTCTAGGACGGTAGGTATGTGTGAACGCGTGTACTGATGTGAGGCTGTTGTTCCAAACTTCCCTTTAACGGCGGTACATTTCGGTACGCAACTTCTAACAATGACATGCTGAGAAGGTGAGCTACCAAATGGCGAGATTGGGTGCAGGTTTTTCAACAACTGCAATTTGGATACAGAAAAGAAGAAGAGTGGTCGCAGGTACAGTTTGTAACTAGTGAACTAGTGTTGATATTGTGCAAAATAAGTCCGTATGTTTGTGTATATGTACACACACCAAAAACTATCGATGTACGCATGGATCTGCCTACATGCCATCGTCTGCGATACGCATATGTTTTTGGCCAACTAAAATATCCATGTTTCTTGACATAGCTGGACATAACTGTGACATAGCCTAGGACCTAGTTCCTACGATCTGAATCTGAGTTTTGGGGTGAAGTCGTCCTAAACAGCCCCTCGTCCACAATTTGGCAGATGGCCCGTGCGAAATTAAAGGCACCACGCCTCTCAACGCCATTCAGCGTCCATTCCACCTGCTGACACTGCCAGAACTAGCGGAGTAAACTTCTCAAGTTTAGGAAGATCTAATCTAAGGTCTGTTTCTAGTCGAAAGAAACAGAAATGCAAACAAAAGAAAGCCGAACGAACCAACACTGACATACTGTCAACTTTTTGCGGATTGAGGTACCGTGCATGGTGCGGGATGCAGGTCGACCCGAAAGTGCGCTCTGAAATGTGACTGCGCAACAAACACTGGTGCGGTGCTATGGCTGTCCCAGTATCAGAGTGACTTCCTCCCCCAACTCTCGAAGCCATAAGCCCTAGACATTAAGCCCCCAGCCCCAAGCCCGAGGTCCGAGACTCGAAGCCTTGAGTGCAAGCCCTTCAATGCCAAATAGTCTCATTCCGTAGTCCCCAACCTTGACCTCTCGGACGTCTTTGGTCTCTCCGCAGGCAAGGGTAGCACTGCCGGCCTCGGGCATAAAGGCTTCAGAAGCCAAGACTGAGATGATAAAGCTATCCAGACCATGACCGCATCGTGCTCTTAATGGGGCGCTTAACTGTTCTAACATTCGCCATCGACATCATGGTCTACAGGAAGCATACCCTATATGCCCTCGTATTTCAGTATTGCAGATCTTGTATTCCTGTATATATGTTATCCACCTACATACCTACCTACCTACCTACCTACCTACCTACCTACCTACCTACCTACCTACCTACCTACCTACCTCCCCACCCACCTACCTACCAACTACCTACAGACAGACAAGCAGGAAGACAGACAGACAGACACGCGTTCAACATGCGTACGTAGACGCGACACACATACGGAACATGCCTTGAAATTGCACGTGTCTTACAATATATATATATATATATATATAGAGAGAGAGAGAGATAAATATATGTATACACATATATATATATATATATACATAGGTGGACAGAGAAATAGATAGATGTTTGTACACCGCCATAGGCACATGTACGTGTGCATACGTATATATATATATATATCAGGCAGATAGATGCATACACGCACGCTACAGACATACAAATGAACCTGTTTGCGCAATTATATGTACACATAAACCTGCACATACATGTACACCGCGTACACCGCGCGGGCGAAATTTGCACCTACACTGATATGTACACCTATACATAACAGTATATGCAGGGATGTGTGACCGACAATCTATATATATATATATACGTACACATATATATATATATGTGTATGTATGTATGGATGGATGGATGTATGTAAGTACGTATATATGTATGCATATACATACATACATACATACATACATACATACATACATGCATGCATGCATACATGCATACATGCATACAGGCATACATGCATACATGCATACATGCATACATGCATACTGACATGCATACATGCCTACATACATGCATGCATGCATACATGCATACATACATACATACATACATACATACCTGTACACTTTGCGACTTACCTAGGTATATATCTAGATATTAAACATTTACAAACTTGTATACGTACAGACTATTTATCGAATAGATCGGTAGATAAGCGGGAAAGAAGGGGTCTCAGGCTGGACCACTAGTGTCACTAGTGGACCAGTAGTAGCACTTGGATGGGTAGCAAACTACATGCGCAATGTTATATGCGAAGCTGCCATGCTGATGGCCACACATGGGCGGCCGACTGCTCTGCTCATCACCATGCCGGTGAACTGCCGTCCACGGGTCCTGCGGATACAATGACAGGGCGAGTGCTCTTCTAGTTAGGTACATTAGACTCGGCTTTGATAAACACCCACAGGGAGTATCTGCACAGCCTGAAGGGGGCGATTTTAGCCTCGAGCGTCCTGCGTACAGCACTCGGCGACCAATGGGGGCCTGTGGCCTTGTTTCAGATGAACAGAAGATAAGCAATTGTTTGCAGATTCGGGGAAGTGCACAGATAGTGTGCCTCAAGAAGTGTGGCACATGCAGTGCTGGGCCACCGACGGCGGAACGAAGCGCAGAGCAGGGCCCGGGGCCAGCATGCCTTCCCGCAGCGCCCCGCCACTTGCCCCTTGTCGCCAATAAACGTCTTTCGAGTTTTCCAGAATGCGAAGCACAAGCTGCAGACCACATTCACAGCTACCAGCCGCAGTCCATGCCTTGCTGTGGCACGGCCTGGAAGCCTTGGATGACCTTCCGGCAGCAAGGCAGCAGGCACGCGCGCACACACAGACGCGCACACAGACGCAGACATAGAAGCCCGCATCTGCCGGATGTCAGAATTCCCAGCGAGCATCCCCAACAATTGAGTATTTGTGTGTGTGTGTGTGTGCATGCCCGATGCTCGGACCCTCCACCCTCATGGAAACTCATCGCAAGCGAATCCAAACTGTGCATAAGATTCGTGAGGTCACGAACTGGAAGTTGCTTGCGCTTGCAAGCCAAGGAGCGCATGAAAGCACTGGACAGAACTTAGTGAACCTTTCCTTGTTGAGCTGGGATTTCATGTTCCACCTCTCTAGGATTTTCAGAGACATTTCCTGAAAGCTACCCATTGATGAGGTGCCGCGAATCTGAGTAGACCATACATCGTCTTGTTCTTACTGTACTGCACTCTTGCAGTTCAAGTTACTAGAATACCAGACTCGTGCAGTCTAGCAAAGTCCCGCAAGATCAACCAGCAGACTCACGCGTGACTCACGTCTTTTGATTGCAGCGCATTGGTGTAGTGTTGAAGTAGTGTTTGTTCTGTTGCCATTGCCACAACCCTGGCTGGCCAATTCGCGCGGCACACCACGCAAAAAGCCTTCTCTTCTTCTCCAAAATTGTCGGCTTATTTCGGCGGGCGGAGCTGGGAATAGCCCAATGCAGAGTGGCATTCGCAGACCGTCAAACATGAATCTGTAGGACCCCCCTTTTTGAAAGCAGCAAGTTTGGATACGATGGGGTTGCATGTCTCCCACATGATGCAGTCGCGGCTTCTCCCGCCTTGGGGCTCTCGGCATAACCTGTCGAGCCGACTCGCCGCAAAGTCGGCGAATTACACCTGACTCACAAAAAAGCTGCTGCAACTTCTGTTGCAAGCAAAGGTGCGTAAGGAGAGTCGACCGGCTTGGTTGATGAGCATAAGCCTAGTGACTATCGAGACTTGAATCCGTCGCAGCTCCGCCAAGTTGGTGGCCTGCCGGCCCACGGTTGCTGCTGGCCGGCAGGGAGCGCGTTGACCTGCATCAGCGCGTTGGAGATCTTCCGACCCTGAGGCTTCTTGAGCTCCGCTTGCGCCAGCACTGACCTCAACGGGAGTGCTTAAGGCTGGAAAGGCCCTGTAGGCCCCGGCTGCAACCTGAAGAGCGCTCTTGCCACCCGCCATCGGCGGGGAAGCGTCCACAGCCTCAGCCGCCGCCAGTCTGGCGAAGACCAAGCCATGCCAAGACCGAGGTTTTCCCCCAATCTTAGCAAGAGAGAGCTTTGCCTGAGCATTGGAGCATGCTGAGTGAGCCGACCGAAGAAGCCTCGGAAGTTGCACCCGCCGAGGGTGTCGTGGTCGCCTGGTGCTCTGGAGAGCTGCGTTGAGTCCATAGGCAGAAATTCAAAGGTCCACACCAGCGAAGACACTGTGGAAGAAGATGCCAGAACCTATGCTGCAGAGAGCCCAGCGGAATCGCAACATGATGGCTTTAAGTCACCGCACAACGCTCCGAACGGAAGAGTTTGCGTGCTACCATGCAGCCTTTCCACGGCCCATGCTTGGAGGGCTGTGCAGGTTGACCTGTGCGAGAGCTGGCCCCTTGCTCTGTTGTCGAACAGGCACCTGCATCTCCCACCTCTGCGGGAGCCCAAGCTAGTACTGGCCCCTGGCATTTCGATGGCAAGTCGTAACGAAAAAAGCCTCAACCACCAGGAACAACCCTGCTCTCTGAGTCGATGCCGATCCTTGGCAGCAGGTCTTGCCACCGTCGCTGCAGGAAGCTCCCTGAGCACAGCATGGGAAGGGTGCACACGCACGGCCCACGGCGGCAGACGCCCAAAAGCCTCGCTGTGACCCTGTCCACCCCCTTTCGCAGCACCCGCCTTGGTGAAGAAACTTTTTCGCGAGGCCTTAGTTTCTACAAGTAGAGCAGTGCTCTAAGGAGCTCTGGGCCGGCAATATCCAGGCATCTGGCGGTGCCACCGGAAGGTCGGACAAACACAGCCGCCAGTCCTGAAGACCGTGTGCGTTTGGATGTGTCAGCACTGCCCCAAACCATGCATCAACTACGTCAGCCCCTGGCAAGACCTCTGTTACAGTAAGTGTTAACCTCGGTAGGTATTCACGACATCAAGCTGCATTCGTGGTGTGCGCAGGGGCTCCTCCCCTTCCTCCACCTCCTGAAACTCGCCACTCTCGAGCTGAATGCGCCAACCCTTGTTGCCGGCCTTGGCTGCTGTCCTATGCTCCATGCGCATACATTGGATGCAAAATTGCCAGGCTTCGAAACACCAGACACATTCACACAGCTTGGCCAGACTGCCAGACTTCGCATGGTCAGAGTCGCAAGCTGTGACTTGACTACTTCTTGGTCCAATTCCATGGGGGCTGGACCAATTTGCCCCTGACAATGGCTTTCAGAACACCAGCTTGGGATCTTGGGCAGTACCTTCCGCGAGTTTGGCCAGGAGGTGCACATGTATCACATCAGTGCACTGCTTGATTCTGACTCGCGCCAAAGGAGATGAAAGCTCTGCAGCGCAGTGGCCCTTCAGAAAGCATGTGAGGCGCGGCGCACAAGACCGTCTCTCCAGGCTGAAAGTTTGCTGGAGGACCTTGGCTTGACAGAACTCGGCGAGTGAAGTCGCGGGGAGATCATCTCTAGGCTGCCGACTTTCAAACTGAGTGCTCTTCCCACCGAAGGAATGGCGGGAAGGACGCTCGTTGGCCCGTACATTCCTGGTGAGCTTTGAGTAAATGCTGGCTTACCGAGAGGCCAACATTGAGGCCCTCGCGCTCGTGCCAAGATTGGGCTGGCCTGGCGTTCGCGGGATAGCCCGCAATTCGCAGAATTGGCTGCAATGCTGGTGCCTCCCTCGCCAGTCGCACAGGCGAGGAGTTGTTCTGCAGGCGGCCGCGGAAGCCCAAGGGACTCCTTGGGGCCCGCGACTCGTCTGCGCGATTGGCGGAGGCCGCAGAATCTTGGGCGCTAGCTTTTCGCTGCGAGTGTGCGTGACCCTGGCAAAGCACGACAATCCCCGGGTATCCCCGCGGCTACGATGTGTGGGAAGTAGCCGTAGTCGGCGAACTTACGCATGCCCCAGCTGCACTTGGGAAGCGATGGCCTCCCTCAAAACACACGCAACATTCCTTGCAGTTTCAGGACCGGTGTATTGAACTGAACCCGGACACATGTCTGCTCCAGAGCCTCAGCTTGTTCAGCGCCTTCCGATCCTGAGCTCTCGCTTCGGAGCCCATTATAACTAAACACTGTTGTTGCTCCTGAAGTCAGGTGTCACTATTACTGAGGGATTCTGGGCGTCTCACAGCTCGCTCTGCAGCATGTGAAGTTGGCTGTCCTGCAACCAGAAGACATCTGCAAGAGCACACCCCGCGCGTCCGACGAGGGCGTCGTTGGGTTTCCGTGCTTGGTCGTACCTCGATTTGGCCTGTTAGCTCTCGTCTAGCCTACCCCAGCTGAAGCGCCGGCTCCGGGATATTGCGAGCCTGGAGGGCTGCAAGACCTTGAAGAGCAGGGTCATCATGTGCAATGTGGAAGTGGTAGTACTTGAGTAAGTGTGAACGTGGCGACGAGGGCATAAATCAGATATTTGTCGATCGTGAACTTTCAGCCGTCGGTCGTTGGACTTGCGTCTTGTCAAACTCTTGCTCTTCATCGTCGCGATATCAACGAGTCGTGTCTTTCTATGTGACCTTTGTGCCCGTATTCCCAGTCCTGTCGTTGCTCTTGTTTGGCGCAATCAATCATATCGTTTTGCAAACATGTGATGTTGCTTCAAGCGAGGAGATTTCAAGCTATGTCAGGTTTGGAATTTAGAGGCAAACGGGACTCGCCCTGGCAGTACACGCGTTCTTGGAAGTTTGCAGCTTGGACTTATGCTGCATTGCAGCTTTGCAAGATCTGACAATCCTTGTTCCACCTTTCTCGATAGGTCCCAATATCAGGTGCCTTCTTCATAGCAAACAGGCAAGATCCTGAATCCGTCTGCGTTGATGGCCGGAGAAGGCTAACCACTTCCACCTCAGCCAGCTCAGCTTCCAAAAACTGGCACGACCAGCTACCTCTACGACTGTCACTACCGGTGCTGCTGCCGCTACCGATACGGCTACCGCTACCGCTGCAACAAGGTACCACAACTCCTCCTCCTCCTCCTGCTGCTACTGGTACTACTGCGACTGCTACTGCTGCTGCTGCTGCTGCACTACTGCTACTGCTGCTACTACTACGACTAC